AAAATAAACACTTTATCCTGAAGATCTCTGGCTTGGGTTTGCTCATTTCCCCAAGCGTTACCCCAGGCTGGGTGTGAGCTGGAGCCAGAGCTCACTCGTGGGTGAACTCCTGGAGTCAGGAGACCTGTGTCTGCTGGGTGGTCTCTTGTGCCATCGTTTTGTTTTCTCTTTGCAGAGACCTGAAGCTGGACAACGTGATGCTGGACAGCGAGGGGCACATAAAGATTGCAGACTTTGGCATGTGCAAGGAGAACATCTGGGACGGGGTGACGACCAAGACCTTCTGTGGCACTCCAGACTACATAGCACCCGAGGTAGGGCCCGCGGAGAGGCGGCGGGTGCTCCACGTGTTTCAGCAGCTCTTCTCCATGGGTAACCTGGCTCTGGGCAGCTTTCCAGCTGGAACGGGGGCAGAAGTGAATTCAGCATCAGCATGGAAGGTTCAACCCCTCAGCACTGTCCCTCCCCCCAGGGGCTACCTTTAAGGAAGCAGCAATGCTGGATCTGCATCTCTTTGGCTCCGTGTCCTGCTGCTGCCTCCAAGTACAGGCAGTCCTCCGTGCTGCTCTCCCTGCAGTGTGTTTGCCCTCTCTGGGTGTTTTTCCTGTGTGTGTGTGCCACTGGCATCACCATCACCATGCCTGTCCAATCCTTGGCACGCTCAAAACCACCAAGGGCTGCTCCTCACGTGCCTCCTTGCTCCTGGAAGAGAGGAGCCCAGGAGCTCGGCTTTGCCCCCGGCCACTGGTGACAGCTGCTTCCCACACAACGTGACCAGTGGGGAAAATGGACTTATCAGTGCACAGTATTTCCATGTGAGGTGGAAATCTGCACTCTGAGAGTGGCGAGACACTGGAACAGGCTGCCCAGGGAAGTTGTGGGTGCATTCAGAGCAGTGAATTTCAGGCAGGTGCTTACGTCCAAGTGTCTGTCCCCTTAACATAAAAATATCCCTCTAAAATCTTCTCTTTGGTGAATTTTCAATGATGAGATTAATATTTATGCATTTGAATATTTCATAGGAAGAGTTTCTCTCTGCTAGGCCACACGTGCTTGTATGGAAAACTGCCTTGTCTTCTGCTGCAGCCCGGGAGGGTTTTAATCACGCGTTCCAATGTGTGTTACACATCCTCATCCTTCTGAGATGAATCCAGGTGTTCTGCTGGTACCTAGCTCAGTCCCTGGGTGTGATTAATACTCTCTCAAAGCAGGACAAATGACCAGTTCTGGTATTTGTCTGAGCAGTATCACTTACACTCTTAGTTTCTCCTCCTTGCTCTAGGTTTGCTTTTTTTTTTTCCTAAAAGAAAAACAGAAAATGGAAAATTAGGATGCAAATCCCTACAGCACCCAGGAGTGCTATTAAAGCCTGCTGCCTGTGAGTCTCAAACGAGGGAATATTCACACTCCCTACCTTGCAAACAGAAGAAGGGGGGGACAGTCCTGGTGTGGTCTCCTGCAGGGTGGCCGAGCCCGCGGCAGTGCCGGGGTCCCTGCGTGGGGTTCTGCTCCAGGGCCCTTCTGCTGGACCTGCTCCCTCCCACCAGGCTGCAATCTTCTCAAGCCAACGTGTCTTCAGGGTAAAACTGTCCTGTGATTTGCTTGACCCATTTTAAGGGCTTTTTCTGTTCCAAGGTACAGCTCTGCATGCCAAGGGGACAGGTACTGAGTGCAGATGACCCCGTGTGTGTAATTTCCTCGGAACAAAACGTGTTCTTCAGCTCCTGGGTTTTGACCTTCCCTAACGTGCAGTTGGTGATTTCAATTTACAGAGGCTTCTTTTCTGCAAGGATTTCTTCTGAAGACTGTTTTCTTTTAAAGGCCTTTTTGGTGTGACCAGTTCACACCTGAATTTCCCAGAGCACCATCTAAAGAACAAGGGAGAGAAACTTCAAGTGCACTCGGTTGAGGAATTTCAGGGCTAAAACTTGACCTCTGATCTCAGTGGGAATGGTCAGACCTGCTCACAGGATGCCATCAGAGTCGTGTCGCTGCCTTGGGATGTGTGGCTGGCTCAGGACCAAGGAGAAGATTGGTGCCAGTCTTGTTCTCTAGTGGTGCCTTGGTGCTGCTGCTTTCGCAGGACGGAGCACGGCTCGTCCTGGGTGGGGTGGCAGCACCCAGGCTGCATCTTGGCATCCCTCCTGTCTGACCCCCTCAGACACTGCAGAGGTGCCTTGCAGGGGGTGGCTGAGCAGGAGGGTTGCAGGCAGTGCTCAGAGCCTCGGGACCGGAGCCTTGCACAGGACCTGGGGTGGGAGTGGCAGGAGCAGACCTCTGGGGCTGGATTGCTGCGTGTGTTCCTCTGTGATTAGCATCTGATTTGCATTTCTGCTCAAGTACAGGAATCTTTGCAGAACAGGATCCTGTGATTAGGATGAATAAATTGCATAATTGTTTTGCACGGTGTAACAGATGGCAAAGCCCAGGGCCTGGCAAACCCCAGAGGCTGAAGTGACGCCCGTCAGCTGCAACCCAGCGAATCAGCCGGAGCTTGAAAGACCCTTCAGAGCAGAAAGGTGCCTTGGGAGCCCAGCTCCTCCTGCAGCCCCTGTGCTGGAGCTGGCTCTGCTCACTTTGAGCTGCCTGGAGGATGCAGGGACCCCCCAGCTGAAGGGAAAGGAACAGGGGGGCTGGCTGCAGGCAGCAGCCCCCAGCCAAGGGCAAGGAAAGGGCATCTCGCTGCATCCCTGAGCCAGGGGACACAGGGAGCCGAGCAGGGAAGGTGCCATGGGACTCTCCCAGGGCTGGGGACCTTTGTCCACCAGCCACTCATCTCATTTGTGGGGGGGATCTTGCCAGAGGGGTTCAGCTGTAGGTGCCCCAAACCTCTGACACGCTCGGGTGAGGTCACCTGCTCTGCAGAGGTGGGTGAGCTGGGTGGCTGTGCTGCAGAGCCATATGATTACGAAATTTAGGGGTTTGAGACACCAGATTTTGCAGAGGAAATAAGGGGAAAACAGGAAAAAAAATGTTTTGGTGCCTTATCCAAAATAAATGTTGATCTTTTAAAAATTAAAGCTAACTGACAAACCCCAAAGTCCCATCTTAGCTCCCAAACAAGCACCCTGCTGGGGTAGGGGCAGGGCCGTCGGTTATCAGGTTATTCTGTGAGGGATGTTGAGCAATAAATAATAGAAAGCAAACTGGCAGCCTGGAGTGCAGAGGGGTTTGACAACCCGTGTGCTGCAAGTCTGTTTTGAAGGGCCACATGCCATCCGTGGGGACCAGGCTCTGTTATCCCAAACCCTCTGCACCAAAGTCAGCAGGGAAAAATCCCCAAATGTGTGGGGGTGAGAGGAGCAGCTGCTGCTCCTGCTCTGCTCCAGCACGCCTGGCTCTGGCGAGCCTGCAAGAACACTGCAAATATGCTGAAGCTCCAGCTGAATCAGGATGGATCTGTCCCAAATCACTGTGAATATTCTGGGGGTTTGTCTAATATTTATCACGCGTCTGAGGGCTGGTGATTTTTTTGGGAATTACTGATCTCTTTGCCTATTGTGTTGTGTTTATAATTGCAGTTTCCCACCGTTCAGGGACTGGCATCTCAGTAAATAACCTTGTCCTTTTGACCTGGACTACAGCTTGAGATCAGTTTGTGTTGTGCCAACAGGTTAGAAACAAGAGTGTAATCCTGCTGCTTGTGTTGTTTTCAGATAATTGCTTATCAGCCCTATGGGAAGTCGGTGGACTGGTGGGCATTTGGAGTCCTGCTCTATGAAATGTTAGCTGGCCAGGTAATTGAATTTTAATTGATTCTTGTGGGATTGTGTTAAACTCCACCGTAAGCCTGTGCTGATGGGGAATTTGTCTGCTGCTGGCACCCAGCAGGGGCCTCCCCTGGAGCTGGGGCTGGAGCTGGGGATGCAGCCCCAGGGACCCCGAGGCTGAGACCTGAGGGGCAGCACAGCAGGGGCTGCTCCTGGGACTGAGGGTCCCAGCAGGCAAGGGAAGATCAAAGGCCATGAAATGTCACTGAACTCCATTTGCTCTGCCCTAGGCTCCCTTTGAGGGAGAAGATGAGGACGAGCTGTTCCAGTCCATCATGGAGCACAACGTCGCCTACCCCAAGTCCATGTCCAAGGAGGCAGTGGCAATCTGCAAAGGGGTAAGGGCTGGCCCTCGAGTTTGGGAAGGAGGGAGAAATGCAGCTGGTGGGACACGGTGTGGGGGGTCCCCGAGTCCTCCTGTGCCCCTCCCTGCCCTGGTCCAGGCTGTGGGCATCCAGTGCCAGGGGAGAAATCTCAGTCATGTTCTGGTGCCCCTGCTCTCTGCTCCTGGACCCACAGCTTGTGCTACTTCCTATATTGGCACCAAAACCAATCACAGATAACAGCTAGACCCTCTCTGTGCTGTGGTGCTCTGAGTACCAGAGGGCTGGCCTGTCTGCTCAGGTGAAGGTCAGGGGACAACTGGGGTGTTGGCTGGGATGTGGGAGCTGAGGGCATCTGCCCAGGGACCCTCCTCCCAGTTAGGTGACAATACAGGAGCTTTATGTCTCTGCCTGAAACCAAGAATGATGCTCAGAGAAAATGAATGTGACTTCTAAGGTGTTTTCCTAAGATCAGAGATCTCAGAGGTTTCCATTGAGCTCTGATGAGTTGCCCTTCAGGGGCACCTGCAGCTCAGTCCTGGTGTGCGTCTCTGTTGGGTCAGGGCAGTGTTTTCATTATCAGATCTCTTAATTTGCACTGCAGCTCTGCATTGCCCAGTGTCCTGAGCTCCCTACGGACTGGGGCTAGGCAAGACTTAAATGCAGTCTGAGTTAATTTGGGCTGTGACAAATAAAGGCTGGCTGGGTCCTGATGTTATTAGGCATATGGTTATTGCTGGGGACTGAGCCTCGTCTCAGCCAGCCAGTGTCAAACGGGGCTATAAATATGTGTTTGTGTAGGAATTTTAAAAAATGTTTGCTTTTAATAGTTAATATTTAAAATATCTGAACGTTCTGTGTCTCAAAATAGAGTTTCTATCCACAAGTGACACATCCTGCACTTAACTCTCCCACTGCGGCGTTTCGGAGCCGCCCTCCGGCGCTGCTGGGTTCAGAGCTGCTGCTGGGGGCAGCATCCCCCAGTGCCCTGGGGAGCAGCTGCTGGGGGTGTTCCCTGCCTGGGGGGCATGGGGAATGGGTGCTGTCTGACCACCAGGCTCCTGCAGAGTAGAATCAAATCAGATCCTTCAGCTGGAAGCCACAGTGGAGTCTCCTCTGGAGAGATTCCAAACCCACCTGGGTGCCATCCTGGGCACCCTGCCCTGGGTGACCTGGAGCAGGGGGTGGGATGAGGTGATCCCCAGAGATCCCTCCCAACCCCCACCATGCTATGACAGTTCTGTAACGGGAGGGGAGATTTCCACAGACTTTCTCACGGCCTCTTCTTCCTCTTGCTGTCGTTGTTTGGGACACAAGGGGAAGTCCACTGTGTCCCTGGGCAGCCAGGAGGGACCGTGGTGGCACTGCTGAGCATCGTTATCCCGTTCCCACGCAGGGGCTGGAGCAGGGGGGAGTCTCACTGGTGGCTTTGTTTGCTGCTGCATCAGTCACAATGCCAATGCTACAAATAGATGAGAAGAGCCTGTGACTGAAGCGTCTGCTGGGTGTAGCTGCAATGGCTTTTCTCACTTCTGGAGATGTGAGGCTGCATGGGAGGACGTTAAGCCACGCGTGGAGAGCTTGGTTCTTCATAAATTATTGGGGTTTTTTGCAGCAGCAGCAAGTGGTGGTTCCTGTTGCACAAATGTTGTTTCAGTGAGGTGCACAAAAACTCCTGTTGTTCTGTACTGGCACCAAAGTGCTGCACCAGAAAGTTTAATTAAAAATATGTGTGGTATTGAAGAACTGTCAGTAAGCAGGAAACAAAGTATTTACATTTTCCCTTGGAATGTGGTAAAATATGTCTCAGTTAACTGTGGGGACACTGAGGCCATGCTGTCTGTGTTGGTACATGATGGGTCTTCCAGGAGGGCACAAACTCAGCCTCCTATCAGTCCAGAGAAGAGGCACTTGGAGAAGCCTCTGGTCTGAAATGTGAGTGGTTTGGTACCTCCCTGCCATGCTCCCCAAAACAAGCCTGTCGTTCCCACGTGGTTCTGCTCCAGTGTGCCAGTGCCACTCGTCCCTTAGTGCTGCCAGCTCAGAGATGAAGCATTTGATCCTGAAATCCTGGTGTCAGCCGAGCCAGGGAACCAGCACTGATCAGAGAGCGTTGGCTGGGAAGCAAAGGGGAGAGTTAACCAGCACACAGCCCCTTGACTCAGCAGTCAGCATCAATTAGCAGATCAAGTGGAGCATTTCCCTCCCTCTGCTGTCAGCTCGGATTCTCCTCCCAGCCCTGCTGTGGAGCTGCTGTTCCATGGTGCAGGTAGCTCAGCTCTGCTCCCCTGAGCCCCGGGTTGGTTGTTGGGAGCCAGGCTCCCATTCAGAGCCACGGGGTGACAGGCGTGTGTGTGCCCATGGGCCCTGGCACAGCCCCTTTCCATGCCATGCAGAGGGCTCTGCCCGTGCCAGGCAGCCCTGTCTGGGTGAGCAGCTCGCCTGTGAGTGTCCCCTCCTGCTTTGCTCTCTGCCTGCCTGCTAAGGCACAAACCAGCACGTTTTCTGCAGTAGTTTACAGGTATTTTGAGTGGTCTTGGTGGAGCTGCCTGGGAAAAGCACATGACAGCTGCTTAGTGCCTGTTAAAGAAGTTTCCTCACCCGGGTTTCCTGTAGCAGAGTCTCAGGCATCAAATCTTATAAAAATAATTTATTCAGATGGTGCAGCAGAAAACCAGGTCAAGCTGAGTGCCTCCAGAGAGGGACCCCGACCAAAGAAATCCCTGGGCAGTTATATCCTTACAGTCCAAGTTCCTCTCTCCTCACACAGTGGTTCTGTCCAATAGTAATATCTGGGTCTGGGGTCTTCTTGTTGCTCCTTGAATCCTTTCTCTGGTAGTTCCTTTTCTTATCTCGAGGATGCAGCTTTTGCTGATGAATGTGGTACCTTGTTTTTCCCAGGATGTATCATCCTTGGGGCCTCCCTTCAAGTAACTAAATCTAAGTTCAGCCTTAGTTCACCACATGTGGCCTAAGGCATCAGCAAATCCAGCAACTCCTGCTAAGTAAAGCAAAACAAGTTTCAATTCAACTTGAAGCCATCTCCCAGTTAGAACTAACAGTCTACAAGTAAACCATGCTAATCCCCAGCAGTGCTGTGCTGCAGCCCCCTCGGAGGTGCTGGGAGCCTCAGTGGGTGCTGGGGAGCAAGGGCAGCTGGAGGGTGGCACTCTGGGGCTGTGCATGGTGAGCACTCTGGGGTGCCAGGGCTGTGGTTTGGCCAAGCAGTTAGTCCAGCCTTGGACTTCCCTGTGTCTGAGCTCAAACACCAGATGTACCATTAACAGGGGATTTGGTCTAAAATATCCTTCCTTAGCTGCAGAAGCCTGAAGGGCTTTCACTGCTTTAGTAAGGGGATTAAATCAACTTGTTCCTGTTTAACACAAACAAAGCTAACTGATTATCCTGTGTAAGCCAGGACAATCAATCTGCATGTTTATGGGGTCCTGTGTATCAATAACAGGTGTTGCCTTCGTGCCCGTGTGCATAAAAGCACAACAGGAAAAGAAGAAAACTTAATTTCTGGATCCATATATTGAAAATTCAGAACAACTGCAGTGCAGCACAGCTCTGTTCAGCCCAACAGGCAGGCACACGAAGGAGAAAATCTTTTACAATTCGTTAGGCAGCTGAGCTGCTCTGAGGTCAGCAGTGGGGTGCTGGGCAAGGGGGTGTAACCACGACGCTTCGGCGTGTGAAACAGCTCCCAGCACAGGGCAGCAGGTGGGACCTGGGAAAAGTCTTTTCTGGCTGGAAAAGCTGAGTAGTGGAGGAGCCCAGGGTGGATTTCAGGGGGTGTGGAGTGTCTGCAGGGCAGTGCAGTGGCTGAGGGTCAGCAGGTGAAGGGCTGCAGAGGTTTCTGCTGGGTGCCCGTGGGGCAGTGGGGCTCCTCTGCAGGGCAGGGGCTGCTCGGGGGGGTCCCGGCACAGCACAGCCTCAGCAGCTCTGCTGACCCCCGGGAGGGGGATGCTCAGGCATCTGTCAGCTTCAGTGGTGCTGGACATGGACCTGCAGACACAGACCTGCTCTCCCTCCTTGCCCCAAACGCTGTCTGGCAGAAAAAGCCAGAGGTGGGTCAGTGTGTTCAGGATCAGCACCTCACAGAAAAGTCCCACCAGCAGATTTCTTTTCACATTTGCTGGAACAAACGAAGCTGTTTGATGTGACAGCCAAATCGCTCAGTCAGTTTATTAGCACGTTTCAGGCTCTCACATTGTTGCTGGGTCCTTGCTTTAGGAAAACCTGACTGAGTCACAGGATGCTTTGCACTCTCCTGCTCTAGCACAGCGAACCGAGACCCGACTGAAATGTCAGGACAGTGTCTGGAGCCTGCCCAGGAGAGACAAAGATCCTCCAGTTCAGCTGAACTTGAGCTGGATGCAGCAGAAGCTGAGGGACAGTGAGGTTCAGTGGGCACGGCTGCGCCAGGGTGGACTGATCGTGGCCAGGGCGGACTGATCGTGGAGCCAGGGTGGACTGATCGTGGCCAGACCCTGGCCAGGGGGGACTGACCACAGCCAGGGTGGACTGACTGGCCAGACCACAGCCGGGGTGGGCAGATGCCTGCCCGTGTGCCCAGCGGGGTTGAATCTCCTTGTGACAGGCTGGGTGCCACAGCAGCGCCGGCAGCAGCCCCAGCCCGTCCCCCCGCCCAGGGAGGGGCTCTGCAGGACTGCTGCTGATCCCAGCCCTCTCCTTGCCGTGAGGACAGGCAGGCTTCACCATCTGGAAGGTGGTTTCTCCAGCTGGCAGAGCCCGGTGTGCCCTCACTGTTTGCAGATGGGCTTCCCAGGGGTGGTGCTGCTTCGGGGAAGCCTCGCTCCGGCAGCCCTGCCCAGGCTGGCTTCCCAGCAGGCTGGGATGGATGGAGTGCTGTGTGCTAGCACAGTGGTCAGCAGCAAACCCTCACTCCACGTTTGTTGGTTTGTTTGTTGTGGGGTTTTTTTTCCTCTTTTATGCTTGTTTGGGTTGTTCGAGGGTTTTTTTGCAGCCTTTTCCTTGCTTTCAGCTCCGTGGTGCAGCATCACTTTCAAAGCTCAGCTCCCCTGAGCCACTTTGGCCTGTGCCATGGTGGATGGCAGGGCTGACCTGTGTCAACACACTGAAACACCGTGGGGCAGAGAAGCTCTGCCTGAGCACAGGACCTGGTGAGGGTCCTCGGCTCCCCATGGCACAGTGGGCTGCCTGATGTGTTTATTTTTGTCAGAAGATGCTTGTTTATAAAACCCTTATCTTTCAGGGGTGGGCCAGCCTCAGGAGGAGGGTGAGGAGGTTTCTCAGTTCCCCTCCCACAGAGCTGCAGGTCCCTCCTGGGGGTCTCCTGGAGACCCACACCCTGGGACACAGAGTCGGGCTCACTGCAACCTCCTCACTGCTCTGGGGGCAGTTTTGGCTGCCCTGCTTTTAATAAAAATCATCCTTTTGTTGCAGGTGTAGAGCTCACATTCGCTGTGCTTATCAACATCTTATAAATCTGTAATCTCCACCTGATCTCAGAACAGAGCTCGGGCAGTGCCCCAGGATATTAGTGTTTGTACAGCCACTCTTAATTCCCCTGGCCTGATTCACTTTTCTTACTGAGCCAGTGAAGAGGAGTTTAGATGATAAACAACACTAATGGACTGCTGTGCTGCTTTCCTCCAAACTGCCTGTTTCATTAGAAATACACCTCCTGTTAGTGCTGCCACAGCTCCACAAGGATGTGGGTTCTGTTTCTAGGGCTAATAAAGGTTTCTGAAGGGCAAACTGTTCATCTTAGATGGGTGGTGAGCTTTACAGTTAATTATGGCAATGCTGAGAAGTTTGCTGCCAAGGAAAGGGACCACTAAGCAGCTTTGCATGATCCTGCTCCCCTGCTGGAGTGGGCTGGTGAGACTGCAGCGGTGCAGAGAGCTCTGCCAGCACCCTGATGGTATTTCTTGGTGAACCAATTTCATGCCCAGGGGATGTGCTCACCCCACCCACTGCTCGGGCACCTGCAATCTGCTTAGTCTGTTGTCATGAGCCATTGTCAACCTTCCCTGTCCCTGGAGCTGCTCCAAGTCCTCCAAGCACCAAAAGCAGGCAGAGGAGGTAGGAGCCCATTTTGCCATCCAGACCCTGATGTGGGTTGTCCCAGGGCAGTGCCCACATGGTGCAGGCTGCCCAGATGGGTGTTTGGAGAAGGCTTTGAGCTGCCTGGTCTGCTGGAAGGTGTTCCCCCCATGGCAGGGGAGTTGGAATGAGATGATGTTTCATTTCCCTCCCAGCCCCAACCATCACAGCACCCTGAGGACTCCTCGGAGCAGCTGTTTGGGAAGCAGCTGGCCGCTCTGTGAGTGACTGTTTCTCCTCTTCCTCTCCAGCTGATGACCAAGCACCCTGCCAAGCGGCTGGGCTGCGGCCCGGAGGGGGAGCGGGACATCAAGGAGCACGCCTTCTTCCGCTACATCGACTGGGACAAGCTGGAGCGCAAGGAGATCCAGCCCCCCTTCAAGCCAAAGGCTGTAAGTGCGGCTGCCTCGCGTGTGCCCCACTCGCCCAGCGCCCTCCCACACCCTCGGGTGGGTCTGGAGGGGCCGGGTCCCATCACTGCCCCCGTGCCCCAGCTCCTTGTCTGGCTCCCGGCCCGCTGCTGCTGCAGAGCTCTTCGTTCTCCCAGGGTCGCTCTTTCTGTCAGCCTTTTTCCTCCCTTCTTCTTAAGCTCAACAGGCCTCTCTCTCTCTCTTCTTTTTTATCTAACCTTTATTTCAGTATCCAGCTCAGAGCCATAGTCTGGCAGGGGGGCTGTGTTTCACTCACTGGTTCTCTCCAAGGTGAAGCAGTGGAAGGCTGGAGCCTGGCTCGTGTGCGGGCACGGGCACGGGTGGAGGAGCTCTGGAGAACCTGCCTGCTCTGTCCCAGCTCTGCCAGGCTGGGAGATGGGCCCTGCTAGAGACAGATGCTGTGCGAGCTGGGAGCAGGAGGCTGTAGGGTGAGAGAAGTTGCTAGCAGTGAAACCGAGGTGGAGGCAGGAGCAACCTGAAAGCTCTTTGTCAAAAAAGCCGAGTCTGGCTGCTCCCGGGTGCAGCCCCGGGCTCAGAGCAGGGCTGGGGTGTCCCTGTGGGGCCCTGAGCACGTCAGTCTGCTGTGTCCCCCTGCCCGTGGTCCCTCTGCCCTTCCCCAGAGAGGATGCACAGGCACAGTGACCACGCAGACTCAGGGACAGGGACATCTCTCTGGAATTCTCCCTTGCCCAGAGAGGTGGTCGCTGCCCCATCCCTGGCACCATCCCAGGGGAGGTTGGCCGGGGCTCTGAGCACCCTGCTCTAGCTGCAGATGTCCCTGCTCCCTGCAGGGAGGAGTTGCACTAAATGACCTGGTAAGGTCCCTTCCAACCCAAAATATTCCATGATTCTCGTTGCCACTGTTGGGCCTGGCAGGGTCACAGCTCTGTCTGAGCCTCTCTGCAGTGGTCCAGATCCTTAAGGCATGGGCTTATTGATGTGTTTCCACCTCCTGCATGCCTGTTAGCTGCTGTGCCCTAGTTGGGCACTGGTGTTTTACAGAAAACTGCAAATCCAAAGTTAAATCTGATTTTACATGGCTGATATGGACTGCTGTTTACACTCAGTGATCAAGGCAGGGATGTTGCATGACCCTGGATCCCAACTCAGAGTCCAGCGATGCTCTGTGGATTTAACTGAGCCTCCCACTGCCCTTAACCTTGGACACATCTGCTTCTCCTCTGCTTTACAGTAAAACTGTCATTTTGAAGAGACCTTTTTAGTGCTTGGAAAAATTCTGCTTTCAGGGAAAAACGTGAAGCCCATTTGGTGTAGGGTGCTCAGCTCCTTTCTCTCTCCTCCCTCTAAGTGCCTCTCTGCTCTCGCAGCCTTTTCCCACCCACAGCTCCTGGCTTGACTGGTGAAATATGAGTGAACACCCATTAGCTGGGCCTGGCAGGGGGCTCGGGCTGCCCTCTGCATCAGCACAGAGAGAAACGTCCTGTTCTCCTCACCTGTCTCAGAAAGGCAGAGAGCAGGCTGCTGGTAAGCCCCTGGTGATGGTTAGCACAGAGATCTGAACTGCTCCTGCTCTCCTTGCCCGCAGAAGGAACGGGACCTTCAAGCTGTTTGACCCTGTAGGAAGGGGGTTGCTGGCCAGGCACTGGTTCTGATATCAAAGCACAGCAGCACAAAACTCCTGGGGGCTGTTGAACACACCGTGACTTGCTGGCTCAGGGTGGGATCCAAGCTTTGTGTGAAGGCTGCTGAGACATGGGGTGGGTGGTCACTGAGCTCCAGAGTGGGGGATGCTGGAGCCCTCTGGGAGGGCTGAGTTGGCTCCGAGGCGTTGGGGGGAGTTGTCTTATTCTGCAAGAGGTCGTTTCTCCTGAAATCTGTAATCTTGCTCTTTCCCACCTCTGTGCTTTTGCTGGTGAAGCTGTTGCTGTCTCTCCCCATCTGCCTGTGCCCTTTCTCCCTGAGCAGGTCCCAGCAATGCTCCTTGCCTTGGGCTGGGGCATGGTGTTATTGTGTGGTGGGTTACAGTTGGAAACAACTGAATTCTGTCAAAAGTGCTTTCGTACTGATTGTATGGTTTAAACTGTGCACATTTTCTCCTGCTTTTTGAATGCCTTATTTCCTTAAAAATCCTTTTGATGCCGGCCCTTGGAAGGGGGACACTCAAGCTGCTGCCTGTCCCTTCTCTCCCAGCAGCTGGCACTGGGGAGGAGTCACCACTGGCTAGGGCAGGGAGATTAACAGCAAGGTAGGCGCAGTGGATTTAGGATTTAGGTAGGATTAAGGCAGCTCAGGTACCTGCTGATAGCTGCTGTTTCAATAGCAGTGTGTCATGCTGGAAACACTGCTCCTTTCGGGCCAGCTGCGAGTGCAGATGAGAGCAGCAGAGAAATGGAAATGTGGGTTTGGGCACTTCACAGTGTGCCTGGGTGGGTCACAGGGAAGGGTGCTGGCACTGCTCCTGACCTCCAGCAGGGCACACAGGGCTGGAGTGCCTCCTGGGGCAGGAGACTTGTGCCAGCCTGGCTCTTCACCTTGGCTTCAATTGTCTTCTTTTTCCTTTTTCTTTTTAATTACCTTCTATAAAGGTTACAGTGACCATCTGCAATCCAAAGGTTTGAAATATGGAGTAATACACAAGCGTGGGCTCAGTGTCTGCCCACAGCCTTCCTGTGCTCCAGCACTAGTGCCTGAGTGCTTCAGCCCTGAGAGCACAAGTCTCTGGTGACAGAACCAGAGGAAATGGGCTCGAGTTGTTCCAGGGGAGGTTTAGATTGGAGCTGAGGAACAATTTCTTGCCCTGGAGGGTTGCCCAGGGCTGTGCCAGGCTGCCCAGGGCAGTGGTGGAGTCCCCACCCCTGGAGGGGTTCCCAAGCTGTGGAGATGTGGTGTGAGGGACACGGGGCAGTGGGGACCTGGCAGTGCTGGGGGACAGTTGGACCTGATGATCTTAAAGATCTCTTCCAACCAAAGTGATTCTGTGGTTCTAAGTCAAGGGGAACAGAGCCCAGTCCAAACTGTTTTCAGCATCATGTCAACCAATTCTCCTTATCAGAAGGTGTCACTAATCCATGTTTGCTCAGGTGTGGTGGGTGCAGGGGGGGCACTGGGGAAGGTCCCGTTTGGGCACAGGTGGGTGGGCAGCTCACCTGCTGCCCCCTCCCTCTGCCCATGGGGCTGGTTCCCACCCTCTCTCCTCAGAAGCATCTTTGCCAGGGAGCTCTTCTGTGGCACCACAAGTTCTTTGCCAGGTCTCTCCCGTTCTGAGCCCTCTCTGCAGGCAGGGAGCGTGGCTGTGGGAAGGGCTGCACACCCATCAGCCTGCCCACCTCTGCCTGGCTGGAGATGAATTCCCCAGAGCTCCCGTGGAGCTTCCTGCTCTGTGCCTGATTAACCTTTATCACAGCCAGGGTAATGAGACAGATCAGGGGCTGGGTTCTCTTTGCTATGCAGGAACCTGCTGGTTTTGACACGGGGCTGTGCTTGGCTGCTCTGGGGTTGGCTTGTGCATAACAATTCCTTTCGTGGGTCTGCAGTTACCCTGGGGAGTGTATTTACACTTGCCTGCTTCTCTGTCTCTCGTTGAGATAATTACTGTTTTTGGTATCTAATTACTCCTTTACTTTACACGAAGCCCAGTGATTTGAAAAGTCTCCTCATTTTGACAGCACTGCAATCACTCAGCAGAGCACAGGATTGCTCACAACAGGGCAGTGGTTTCAAAAATTTGCTTTTAATCTCATAATTTTTAATTGCATAAAATAATTTTCCTCTAACTGCTTTCAATTAATTGATACTGAAATGCCATTTATAGACCTGGATGTGTAAATACTCTAGTTCTCCTGCATGTGCATTTTTGTAGCCTTAGTTTTGGTCTTTAAGAGGTGAATTCAGATGTTTGCATAAGTAATTTCCTAATTAGATGGGATTTAGGGATTGAGGGGGCCAACAGTGGGCAGGGTGGGGAGGCAGCCAAATGTGTGAAGGTTAAGCATCTCCTCTGATAATCCACTCAAGATTCACTCTGGTAGCCTCAGGGTCCTGTAAAGATTTTCTCTGAGATTCCCCTCCAATTATTCAGCCAATATTTTTGGTATTTTGGGTAGCAGCTTGGCTTTGTTTGCAGGAGAGGGATGAAAGCTGGGGTCCTACAGCAGAAAACCCTCTCAGTGAATGCTCCCAGCCCTTGCCTGGAGCCAGGATGGAGCAGCCTGAGCTGGGCTCTGGGACCATTAGCCAGGCACCTATGAATGAAAATCTCTCTTGTTGCCCCTGAGCAGCACAAAGGGGCCTTTGGCCTGGCCCCAGGTTCGTGCTGCCAGCCAGATTCCCCCAGACACAACCCGTCTGTCACCAGCAGTGCCTGGGAGCCCTGACCCTCCCTCGGGTGCTGAGGAGCCAGGTCTCTAACCCACAGCAGCACCAGCAAGGTCAGACTTGCCCAAAAGATGCCTGCAAGGCCAGTGGGATCATGGCTGTACCACTTTTTTTTGATTTTCCCAAAAAAATCCCTGGAAATGGAGGGTGTGTTCAGCCCAGTGCCTCTCCCGGGCGTGGGGGGCGAGGGCTTTGGCACAGCACCAGAGCAGCCGGTTTTTAATGATCTTTGATTGCATCTCAGGGATCAATGGAAAATATTTTATTATGCCTTTTTTCCCTATCTGAAATCAAGCTAGAAACTGATAAAATAAAAAGGCCATCTTCTAAGCTGACAGGTTTATTTCTGCAGCTCGGAAAAAAAAAGTCATTCTGCGCTGGCTATAAATATTAGACAGGACACGTTGGGGATTTATGTAAGATAAATTCCCACCCTCCCCCTTTCTCCATTCAGGATGGAGCGATGCCTGTGCATTAATACAGTACTAAAATGAGGCAGATTTTTCCCAACGTGGGTTTAGATAAATGTGAAAATTCATATGGCATCTCCCAATCTTTAATGAGGAACCTGATGTCGGAAGGGGCCAGACCTTGTTCCGAAACTCCAGCAGTTTCCAGTTGGCCACTGGGGTAAAACCTGCCAGGTTCCCAGGAGCCAGTGCCTGGCATCATGGGGACAGCACAGAGCTGTGGTCACAGCCTTTGGAGCTTGGGTTTGGGCTTGGATGTGGCTCCTGTAAACCCAAAGACAACTCCTGCCTTAGAGGATGTATTTGATCCCTGTGGAGGCTCCCACAGAGCAGGAGGTGCAGGCTGGTGTGCTGACCAGGGCAAGTCCTTATGCACCCAAACAAAGCCTGCAAACTCCACAAAGCTGGGCATGAAATACCAGGGACAGATGCAACTTTAAAAATGTTCCATCCCTGTATTCTTGCCTTGTTGGTAGTGACGAGAATTATTCCTTGCCAATATACATACTCAAAATAAATTTGTATTTTCTCTCCCCATAACTGGAAGCACTTCACCAGCAATGGTTTTTAAGTCTTTGATGAGGTTGCTTGTGTTTGATTTTTTTTATTTATTTTTTTTTTAAGTGACAGCCCATTTCCTTATAGCAAAAAGAAGGCTGGTGCTGTCAGACACTGCAGACAAACTGCCCTGCGAGTCCCCCCAGGATCTCATGAAGCTAATAGGCAATGACAGCTTTATTTTCAAAGCTCTGTAAGGCTCTCACTGTGTATTGGGAGTTGATAGAATCTGCAGGTGAGCAGCTTATTAGCAGGTAAACCCTGCTACCTTCGGTGCTCCTGCACTGATAACCTGAAGCCCTGCAGAATTCCCCAGTAATCCTGCTCAGGGTTTGTTTTATCCCAGTGCTGAAGGGGAAGACGAGTGACAGTGTGGCCTTGAAAATCCCCAAGCTCTTAATTTTGTGACTTTAGCTTCCAGGCTTTGAGGAACTGGCAACTTGAATTCCGAGCATTTATATTCCATTTTGATGTTAATATGATGGCTTTCAGGGAGGCATTTGGCTGTTGCAGGCTTGTCAAACATCTAAAACAGACTTCTGCAAGACTGGAAAGCTGTGCCTGACTGCACGGTCTGGAGCAGAGAGCAGCTCTTCCCACACTGACTGGGGCTGTGACAGCTCTTGTTGGAATTCCTTATGGTGGGAACTGGCAGCTCCTCTGGAGATAACCTCCCTGTTCATTTCTGCACATCGACGACCCTCCTTGCTGTCCTGCAGCCTGGAACAGGTTGACAAATCCAGACTAGAAATGTGCTGTAGGTTGGGATATGGTCTTACAAAATATGGGAGATACAGGGGTGTGGAAGGGTGGGCTCAGGGGCTTCAGCACAGCAGTAACTCGAGTTAAAACAGCTCAGATGTGACCCATTGAAGTTGATTTAGAGACTTGGGGGTGATGAGTGCCTGATTTGGTGTTATAAGAACCCATAAAAGCTGCTAAAGGGGAAGGTGCCATTGGAGCCTGGTGGATGTTCACGTTGTCTTCCCTGAAACCTCTCTGGCAGAGGAAGAAACTGGGAAATATTGAAGTTTACATTTATTTGTCTTTAATATTTTATTTAGTCTGATATTTATTAAAAATGGAAATCAGTTTCCTTAGCAAATGAAAGTTAAATAGCAGGGAAAACTGTCCCAGCACTTGAAGGGTGTGTGCTCCGTGGGGAGATGGAAGGAGAGGAGAGAGGAGGCCCAGGAGAGCATTGGCTGGGGGGCAGCTGGTGGAGGGGGCGTTGGCAGCCCTGGGAGGGGACGGGGCAGGTCTGTGACAGGCTCTGTAGCTGCTGCAGTGACCCACTACCCACCTGTTGTTAGTGACTATTGCTGTTGTTATTACATCAGCTCCTGATTTGCAGCACGGGATGTTGCAGGACCCCTGCTTTGATTGCTGGGAGCACTGAACAAGGTCAGGGCACTGGTCAGCAGCTTCCAGAGCTTTTGGGTCCTTCTCTTGTCTGGCTTTGCTGGCTGCTGGGAGCTCGGTGCTCTTGGCCCCTGTCCTGCCTGCTGAGGGGTGGTTGTTAGCTGCCTTCAGGGGCAAGAGGGAAGAAGGTTGCTGTGAGCAGGGTTTTTGGGACTGCCAGCTGGGTCCACCTGCAGTGCAGAGCTCTGGGGATGCCGTGCAGCAGAGGGCTGGTGGCCAGGAGCAGCCTGGTGGCCAGGAGCAGCCTGGTGGCCCAGCTCCTGCCTGCCTCAGCTGAGCAGCACCCCGTGCACCAGCAGGGACTGCCAGGGTCTGATGGGGATGTCAGGAGGGGACAGAGCAGCCCTGGACGTTCCCAGGCACATGTGCCTGCATTAAGCATTCAGCCAGCAGCAGTTTGCAAGAGCTCTGTGGCAGGTGAGGAGCTCTGTCCTTGAGCAGGGCAAGGAGGAGCCTCTGAGCAGTCCAGACATGCTGAAAACTTCCCAGTCCAGAGGAGGGAGCAGAGACTGAGTGGGTGAAGCCACAGGGGTCTTCCAGAGGCAGGTGCCATGTGTGTGGTGGAGCCAGGGAGAAGGTGCAGCCCCGGATGGCAGCAAGTGATTGTGCTCCCATCTCACTCCTCCCCTTCCATCCCTTGCCAGGATAACATCACCTTCTGACTGACAAAGCCCACGTGTATTTTGCAGCTTTTCCTGTTCTCCCACTGCTGCAGGGCGTGCTGGGCAGGGGGTGGCCCCATCCCCACGCTGCTTTCCCCACCCACCATCCCTTCTTCTCTTCCCCTCTCATAGTGTGGACGCAATGCTGAAAACTTCGACCGGTTTTTCACTCGCCATCCACCCGTCTTAACACCTCCTGACCAGGAAGTCATCAGGAACATTGACCAGTCAGAATTCGAAGGATTTTCCTTTGTTAACTCAGAGTTTTTTAAACCTGAAGCCAAGAGCTAAGTAGCTGTGTAGATCTCATTCCTGCATCTCTGTCATCCAGTCCCAGCTGCTGTTTTGGTGACATTTTCATTGCAAAACTTGCATTCGTGGGTTTTCTTTAGTACTGCTACTAGAGTGACCGTATTCCAGAGCCAGAAGTGTCTTCACAGGATGTAGGGCACGCCTGAAAGGTGGGTGATGAGCTGTAAGTGCTGTAAATGTGCTTTTATGACATTTTATTTGTAGGAAAAGAAAACAGTTCGTTGGCTAACCCAGGTAAAAGGGGGAGGTGTAAGCTGTGACAATTAGGAGAAATCTCTTCAGCACATGCTTTGCTCCCTGCTCCTCCCTTTTTCTAGTCTTTTTTTAATATAATCATGAAAATTAAATATTTAGCCCTCTTAGCCCTAGTGGCAAGTAAGTGTTTTTAACAAAACCTTTCCCCGCAGCGCGGGTGCTGCTGGCTCAGCCTCTCAGCTCCCCCAGGCCCCAGGAGCTGCTCTGCAGGGCTGGCAGCACCAGCCCTGGCTCCTTCTGCAGCTCAGTGCTGCGGGGGGTCGGTGCCCTCGCCGCCCTGGGCTCGTCCCTGTGCAGCTCTGGGCAGTTTGGGACAGTTCTCTGCTCCGGGCCTTCGGCAGCGGCAGGAAGTTATTTGGGGAGCCAGGTCTGCTGCTTGCAAAGATTTCTCCTGATTGTGCAGTTTCTAAATAGTGGGGTTTTAATCAAAAGACACATATCCTATTGCAACCAGGAGATTTGGAAAGAGCTGTAGCAGATGCTTTCAGATCCTTGGCCACCCTCATAAGCACCACGTGAGGTCAGTTCTCATAGCAAAACTCCCTTTTTTTTTTTTTTCCAAATGCCAAAGCAATTGATTGAGATTGTTACCTGTGCTTTAAACGTGTCAAAAAATGGTATTAACACACATGGGATGCTATTTAACTTTGAACAGTGTTGTGAATTCTGATATGAAGTTTGTAAAGAAACTCGTTCCAACTTACAGTCCTGCTTTTAAAAAATTCCACCAGATGCTTAAATGGGCTAAGTTTTGTTTCTGGCATCAAAGAAAAAATCTCAGGAAGGATGAATTTCTCTTGAAACAATAAGAACCATGCAGCTTCCTTTTATACTGCTCTGCAGATGTTCGTGGCTGTCACTGTATCAATCTGCTTTAACTTGTAATGTGCCATTGTTCTTGGGTTTGTGTTGTTTTGTTTTGTTTTTTTTTTCCCCAATAATGATGATAAAATAAAAAGTGAGAAATAACATCCAGGACACCTGCATGTGTTTGGCAATAATGAGTTTCCACAGCTCTGGGCTCAGAGATGGCAGGAGCGCCAGGCTCCGGGGCTGTGCTGCGCTGAGGGCTGGAAGCTGCTGCTGCTGGCTCAGGCAGGGGGGCAGGCAGGGGGGCAGGCAGGGTGCAGGCAGCAGCCCACGTCACACCTCACCCTCCTGCAGCTCTGGCAGAGCCGTGGCCCGTCCATCCTCTGCAGTGTTTGTCCCCAAGCCGAGGTGCCACGTCCTGGAAGCGTCTCGCCAGCGCCCGTGTGCCCCTGCAGCGCCCAGCCACACTGCTCACCGAAACCTGGACAGGGAGGGGAGTCTCTCCCACGTCCCTTGGAGGAAGAGTTTTTCTTTGGGGCACCAGGATGAGCTGGGCGCTGCTGCTCGGGGGTCTCGGGGTGCTGCTGCTCAGGGGTCTCGGGGGGCCTGGAGCAGAGGACTGCAGAGGGGAGGCCCCCGGTGACCCAGCGCTGCCGGGCAGCGGCTGGGAAAAGCCATCGGCAGCTCCAGCCAAAGAGGGATCAAAGGTTCCCCTTAACCTCCCTTTGGAGCACGTGCAGAATTTCTCTTCCACCTGGAGCACCCTGTCCTGCTGGACTGCTGCACAGTGGGGCTGTTCCCAAAGGCACCGAGCGGCCCCACAGCTCTGCCGCAGAGAAGGGCTCGGCGATGGTCGGCAGGGATCCCACCCCTGGTGCTCCGGGCACAAATGCTGTTCTGGGCTGGATGTGCCACGGTGCCCTGGGCATGGAGGAGCCCGGGGTGCCTCTGCCACACCGTCCCATCCCTGCTCCTCACCTCCCAGTCAATCACCCCTTGCTGGAGGTGTTTTCAGCCTTGAATTTCCCCTGCCTTGCCCTCTCTCTGTTTACCAGATCCACGTAGCTGTCCCCTACCTTCTCCCAGGCAATTCATCATCTTTGACAGAGGCCAAATTGCCACCAATTTCGGACAGAATTCAAGGTAAGAAATGAGCAAACCCCACTTGGCTCTGCTTGCAGCCAGGCCCTCCTGGTGCTGCACTTTGCTGCCGAGCCCCTGCAGGAGCTGGGGAGGTGAGGAGCTGCTGGAGGACTCTGGGCAGGGGGAGGTGGGCTGCCCTGAGCCCCCTCCCAGGCACATACCAGCCTCTGCCAGAGCTTTCTGCTGCTGAAAAGCAGCAGGAGGTTTTTTCTCACTCAATGGCTCCTGGGTTGAACAGCGACTTTCTCTGGTGCCATCAGCAGAAGCCACTCTGAAGGGCTGGGGACCACGGTGGCCATTTACACCAGCAACACGTCTGGACGTCTCATTCCCCTTTGCAGCATCCCACAGCATT